TTTTCAACAGGAACTGGTTTGGCTCCTAAGATGTTGATGCAGTCTTCTTAAGGTTTTGTACAAGTAGCTTACTATGATATATTATGGGCAACTCTATGGCCATAACAAACCATTTGTACAAGATATTTATATCACTTTTGCTTAACTTAACCCTTCTAGGACGTGCGACGTATTTTTACATTTCAACAATAATTTTTGTTGTAACCGCGTACTTTTACTATTCTAATACAATTAGTTGCAAACGATAGTCCCGAAAATAATCTCCACGCTGTCTTAGAAGGGTTAAAAATACAAGTATTCACTGAGAACCACTCCTCACACAAGTTTCACCAATTCACAGCCATTTCCTAAAATGGAGGCCAAGGGGAATCCCCTAGCAACTGGTGGTAAACCTCATTACAACAATAGTTAATAACTCATGCTTACAAAAGATGGCGTAAAACGCAAGAAGAAAAATGTACATTACAATATGAGGATTTACTTCGACATCAAATTGGATTTCCAATATATAATTTTTACAGAATACTGTTGCACGGAAAAACTGTTCGCGAAGAACTACTTTTACAACATAACTATTTTTGTTGACTCATAAGTTCTGCAGATGGGTCAAGGTAACCTATCTATATCATTGAAATATCAATTTTTGGATTTCCAAGTGAAACAACAGAGGAAGTCAGTAATTCTGATATACAGTATGCACCATACTTGTACTGTGAATGATGTACAATTCCTGATATACAATTCCATAATGAGACTAAAGTAGATATGGATGCACTCGATCAAAATATGCCAATAGCTTCGATTGATTGCATATTAATTGTGCTCTCTGGTGTTAACAGTAGAGTTGGATATGAATCCTCACCACTCAGAAAAAAAAAATTAGGTATTCTTTGATAAAACAAGAAATGTACTTTACTCATGTTTTTGTCAAATCTGTTAAGAATATCTCATTATATATATAAATTGAAATGTATGTATAGTAATACATTTTGCGTTAATTGTGAAAGACCTTCCTAAACATGTACAAATTTTCTCCCAGAAATAGAAAAATACTTACAGCTTTCATGAATATATTACAATATGGCAAAGAATTGGCGTCTTTGGAAGTAAAATTGGCTCCTGTCCCATTGACTCATCCCATTCAGCTCCATGTCATAGGTCCATCCTTCGAAGTCAACCTGA